AGCTGTCTATATGTAAAAGCGCAATATCACATTATGTATAATATACACAACCCCCATGTGTTGTGCGTTACATGTGGGAGTTAAGGCTTCCAAGAGGAGGAGGGAAATGTACAGTTTCGGCAATTTGGGGGAAATACAGTTAGTTTTCCAATAATGTTCTACTATCTACTTAAATGACCACTGATTTAATTCATGGGTATAGACGATACATTAATATTTCAGTAGAAGCTTCAGACGGCAGTCAGACGAGTCCTAGCAATTCCGTTCAACAATGCAATCTTAAACTAGCCTATTGTGACCCCTATTAACTAGCTTGTATAAATACATTAACTAGCCTGTTTACCCACTGTGACCCCTATTAACTAGCTTGTATTACTACATTAACTAGCATATTACCCACTGTGACCCCTGTTAACTAGCTTGTATTACTACATTAATTAGCTTGTTAACCGACTGTCACCCCTGTTAACTAACTTGTATTACTACATTAACTAGCCTGTTTACAAACTGTTACCTCTGTTAACTAGCTTGTATTACTACATTACCTAGCCTGTTTACCCACTGTGACCCTGTTAACTAGCTTGTATTACTACATTAACTAGCATGTTTACCCACTGTTACCCCTGTTAACTAGCTTGTATTACTACATTAACTAGCCTGTTTACCCACTGTGACCCTGTTAACTAGCTTGTTTTACTACATTAACTAGCCTGTTTACCCACTGTTACCCCTGTTGACTAGCTTGTTTTACTACATTAACTAGCCTGTTTACCAACTGTTACCCCTGTTAACTAGCTTGTTTTACTACATTAACTAGCCTGTTTACCCACTGTGACCCCTGTTAACTAGCTTGTATTACGACATTAACTAACCTGTTTACCCACTGTGACCCTGTTAACTAGGTTGTATTACTACATTAACTAGCCTGTTTACCCACTGTGATCCTTGTTAACAAGTCTGTATCTGTATATCCCTGCTCGTGATCCCTATAACTTGCCTGTTTCCTGTGTATCCAGGCTGACGTAACAACCATCGCGAGTCATTCTTTCCCTTCGACCGCCTTTGTAATGTATGCAAATCAGATATATCAAAACGCAACTTGCATGCTTCTTAAACTTTTCTATATTTGAAAAAAAACACGTATTCGAATATTTTATATCTCAGTTTGTCAAAAGTATCCATGTGTGGAAAGAACAGAGATAATTAGAATCTGGCACAAAGAACGAACGACCACTTTATAACACCTGTCGATGTAACCTGAATGATCACGAGTTAATAGTTTTTGATTGGAACTAACAGTAAATATAAAGATAAACAAAGCACGTATGATATGTATCCGTCATCTAACGGTCGGGGACTAAATCCACCTTCAAAAGTAGCAAGAATTGTGATAACGCGTCAGACATCTCGTGATAACGCGTCAGACATCTCCCTTCCTGTTCCATGGAAAGTTATCAAAGTAAACACAGGAAGGATCGTGATTGGATGGCTGATAGTGACCAGGTTTAATATCGGCGGATCTGGTGAATCTTGTAACGTCATCACACGATAACTCCTGATGGAAGCAACAGTTGTTTTGTAGTCATGGTAATCCAGTGGCCAAGTCCGATAATTCAAATATGCATGATAATCACACGATAAAAGCAATGCATCAGGGTTAACAATACATTGTTAGCTGTAGGTATGTGTAGCTCTACTCCTTGGAAGGTTTACGTTCGCGTATGATTAACGATGTGATAAGGATGACAACTTCACTTACATAGCATGTCAAAGTGAAAGTTAAGTTTACTGACGAACCGGTAACACTATACTTTTGGTATGTCTATATATATACAAAACCTGATAGCACCATTACTCTTCGTAAACAAGATATCTTCAATATAGCGTTTTTTTCAACATGAAAATAGGAAACGCCAATTAGTCTCTTTTGAACTTAAAAT